TTTGTGCTTTTTTGAAATGGATAGTATAGCAATAGCAAATTTACTGCTCACTCATTATTTAAATTGTTTTTAAAAAAAAAAAGTAATAAGCATCACATATATTTTAATTATTTTAAAAATTATCGAATAGCAATAAACACCAACAAAATTCCTACCTATAAATTTTTAATTCATTTAATTCAATTATTCCATTACCGATTAGTGATCGTTTTGCTTCACAATTCATTTCTTATCAATGCTTGCAAAGTTGCAATTAAAGTTTTTTTTTTGTTGTAATATCATTTTACTTCAAATTTAAATCCTTTCCATGTTGTACTTAGCTTAAAGAAATGAATCATTAAAGAAGGAGACATCTGTCATTATTCTCTATATATAATATATTTTAATTATTTGAAAAAGAGTTATTGAAAGGCGACAAATTTCATTTTAAAAAAAAGAGTTGAAGATTGTTTGTATATTATTACGCATTTTGAATTGTAATTTAAAATTGAAATGATTATAATTATAATTAAGTATTGTGTTTGGCTAAACTTTACTGAATGAAGAGTTATTATTTTGTTGGCCAATTATCATTTCATGGTAGCAGCTGATTATAATTATAATTAAGTATTGTGTTTGGCTAAATTTTACTGAACGAAGAGTTGTTATTTTATTGGTCATTTATCATTTAAATGATAACAGTTTAGAAAACACTTCACAATGAAACAGTTAATCACGTATTAATTTCATGATAACAGTTTAGAAAGCACTTAACAATGAAACAGCTAATCTATTAATCACTTCATAATAATAGCTTAGAAAGTACTTAACAATGAAACAGTTAATCATTTATCATTTCATGATAACAGTTCAGAAAACATTTCACAGTGAAACAGTTAATCACTTATTATTTCATGATAATAATTTAGAAGGCACTTAACAATGAAACAGTTAAGATTAACAGGAGCACAAAATGAAATGAAATTGAAATGAGTATTGTTCTTTTACAGCTTGCAACAATTTAGATTTCACAAGTGTTTAATTACCACTTTTATAATTTCTTCATCCTTTATTCATTCTTTTGTTCTTATTTTCTAATCTTGAAATATTTTTAAGAGAAAAATTTATTGGCTCAAATTTTATTGGAATATTTAATTGAATTCTTATTTGTTAAGAAAAGATTTTTATGTGTCTTTGTGAAACTTATACATTTATATAAATTGTGCTTTAAAATTTGGTTATAATTAAGTAAGCATATTCTATTACATAGCAAATAATTTAATATATAAATGAAATGAAATTAAGCAAACATATTCGATTACTTAATTACATCCAATATATCCTTAATTATATACAATATATCTGAGTTTGAAATTACTATACCAGCTAACTGAAATATGTAAATGTCTTTTTCAGCTATATATAAGAATGTTGTATGATAATTTCAATTCAAATATTCATAAGAATGTTGTATGATAATTTCAATTCAGATATTCACAAGAATGTTGTATGATAATTTCAATTCAAATATTCATAAGAATGTTGTATGATAATTTCAATTCAGATATTCACAAGAATGTTGTATGATAATTTCAATTCAGATATTCATAAGAATGTTGTATGATAATTTCAATTCAGATATTCATAAGAATGTTGTATGATAATTTCAATATATTATCATACAACATCATACAACATTCATAAGAATTCAAATATTCAGAAGAATGCTGTACGATAATTTCAATTCAGATATTTATAAGAATGTTGTATGATAATTTCAACTCAGATATTTATAAGAATGTTGTATGATAATTTCAATTTAAATATTCATAAGAATGTTGTATGATAATTTCAATTCAGATATTTATATGAATGTTGTATGATAATTTCAATTCAGATATTCATAAGAATGTTGTATGATAATTTCAATATATTATCATACAACATCATACAACATTCATAAGAATTCAAATATTCAGAAGAATGCTGTACGATAATTTCAATTCAGATATTTATAAGAATGTTGTATGATAATTTCAACTCAGATATTTATAAGAATGTTGTATGATAATTTCAATTTAAATATTCATAAGAATGTTGTATGATAATTTCAATTCAGATATTTATATGAATGTTGTATGATAATTTCAATTCAGATATTCATAAGAATGTTGTATGATAATTTCAATATATTATCATACAACATCATACAACATTCATAAGAATTCAAATATTCAGAAGAATGCTGTACGATAATTTCAATTCAGATATTTATAAGAATGTTGTATGATAATTTCAACTCAGATATTTATAAGAATGTTGTATGATAATTTCAATTTAAATATTTATAAGAATGTTATGCAATAATTGTCAACCATTCATGTAAATTATTTCTAACCGTGTTAAATTTCAAACAAAAATATGTACAGTTCGAAATTGCTATCATCGATTTTCAAATATTACAAGCTTTTCAATCCATTTATTTTTCTCATACAATTCATTATTCTTCGATAACCTCAGATTTATCTAATTTTTAAAATAATTTAAGTATATTATATGGCGAAAAATTGCTGATATCCCCTTCTTTATTGATTTATTTCTCGATGTTAAGCAAAACGTATAAGAAATTTAAATTTGTAGTAGAATTGATAAGAAATGGATTGCAAAATAAAGCGATTACTTATCGGCAATGGAATAATTGAATTAAATGAATGAAAAATTTATGCATAGGATTTTAATTCAATTATTCCAATACCGATAGGTGACCGATATATTCTATTATCGATCACTTATCGCTAATGGAATAATTGAATTAAACGAATGAAAAATTTATACGTAGAAATTTTGCTGGCTTTTATCGCTATTCGATTATTTTTAATTTTTAAAATGTTTTAAATAATGAGCAGGTACTATTGCCGTATTATCCGTTTCAAAAAAGCAAAATGAAATTTGATCAGTTAAGTTCATTAACAATTTATTCACTGTTAGGCATTGGCTAAAATAATATTCATATGAGGAAGTGTAAATATTACACTAAATTAAAGTGCCTTTGTAATTGATCAAATACAAATGCCTTTTCAGTTGATATTATAGCTATTTTAGTATTTCCTCATTTCGATAGCTAAAAAAATTGAGAATAATAAATCAAAAGATGCCTTTAGTTTTTCAATCCAAACAGTTTATTAATCATTGAGGTATTGAATTTAGCTTTCATACATACATGCCTTTGCTTCTCTCTAAAGCTTTCATTTTCTTCCTTATATTAAAGATATAACGTGAACATTTTTTACCGGCCTATTGTTTGCTAATTTGAATCGAATTAATATCATTTATTATCTTTATGAACACTTATTGCATATTACCTTTAATATTGTTTTAATATTACCTTTAACCTTAAATATGTTTAAAATGTAAACATAAATTAGTTAAAAAGTGATGATATAACAATTAATTAAAATTAACCAACAATTTAAACGGATATTCTTAATATTAGACGAAAACTTTCGAATATTTTTCATCACCTTTCATCCCTTCTATCATTATTTATATAGATTATTAATTTTCAGACTTTCATCTGCATTTTCAGACTTTCGCTGAATGTTGCAAATATGAGTAATTAGTGATAGCTTCACAATATTATCTGGATTACAGTTTCCCTTCCGTGTTGATAATAAACTCTTTGACAATTAATAATTCATTTGTATCACTGCGAAAAGGTAAAGAGTCTTTTTGTGGTGATATTAGAAAAACTTCGTATTGAGAATATAATTTACCTTAATAACAACAACAATTCTTATTCTAATTTTATCCTATTTCTGATTGACATTCAATTTTATTCACACCATCTTGGCTATTATCACATTTTACATGAAGCAAATTTTTCTCGCAATTTTTTCTCCTTACATTCTTAACATTTTCTTCGCATTCCTATTCCTTTCAACGATATTTTAATTTGTACCAGTGATTACCATTCAGCTATCGCAAATAATCAGATGAGGCTAAATACTTTCCTTGGCTTTCTTAGGCTTTTAGTAAAATTTAAATAAACGATTGCCGCAGAATATCATGGTTTTAATAAATATTGCTCTAATATGCCATCAGAAGTTATTTCTTTACATCTTTTGATTATATTAATAATAAATTCGTAGTGTGAATTATGTATAATGTTATTCAACTTCCAACAACAAATTCTTTTTTCATATATATGCACAATATATTCACAGGTGCTCGCTCAATCGATAATATCTTAAATCTTTAATCTGAAATGATTAAATTATCCGAATAATTATCATTGGTAATAATTGATCGAAGGCAATTTCATCCCAATATCACATATCGCAACAGAAATCCTAAATATCTCACGTTTCATTTATTTCATTTTACTGCACAAATTTGCATAGATCAATTTTACGTGACTCGAAAATGATGATCAATTTTTAATTTCTACAATACTGCATCTCTCTTGTCTTTCAACAATGAAAAAACTAGTAAATGTAACATGTATCATTGTATACGAATTTTTATATCAAATTTCTACTTATTTGAGACGATTGCTTTAACGAGAACTTTTTGATAAGAATTTTATCGCAATATCTCAGTGTGAGGATTCGTTGAAATCTGCAGAAAGCAGTATGTGATAATTTTTAAAAAATATAAAATGGATTGTGGCATGTAATCATTACGGTAAATTTTTTTAAGATTAAAATTTCTAATCAATTTGCTGAAATTACCATCTTTTTTTTTTCAACATATTTATCAAATCGATTATTGCAAGAAGCAAAAATGGAAGTTTCATTTCTTTTAATATCGTATCTTTAATTCCTCTCACACAAAATTTCACTACTAATTAGGTGATTGCAAAAACAATAGCTATTGTTTACACTTCTCATATCATTTTAATGAACATATATTTCAAACTTGCTCATATCATTTTAAATAATCTATATATATATATATAAATATATATATTGTACACTGGAATGTTTCATTTAGGTTTATTTGTTATGGCAATTAATTAAGTGATGTTAATATTTCCCCATACAATTCAGATTTATCCAGGTGATTCTATTCGTCAAATAAGTGATGCCGATGTTTTCCTAGGCTCTAGACGTATAAACCGGAATGTTTCATTTAGATTCATGGCAGGTGATTCCATTTTGTAAATAAATGAGGACAATATTTTCGTAGGCTCTGTATAAACATATATATATATATATATATATATGGGACCAGTATTTGTCTAGGTTACTCAGACTTCTACCAGGTGACTTTATTCAGTAAATAAGTGAGGCAATATTTCCTAGACTATATATATGCACTGGAATGTTTCATCTGGATTTATTGTAACCTATGGGAAATAATTAGGTGAGGCCGGTATTTTCCTATGCTTTTCTAGGCTTAATGAAATTAAAATAATCATTGCGGTTAATTTTTTTAAGATTAAGATTTTTAATCAATTTGAAAGCTATATGCTGAAATTTAAACTTGTTCTAGTACAACAAACTGCCTTAATCTCCCGATATTTCATATCTTTTCAACAGGTTGTACTCAATTAGCATTCTTTAATTTTGATTACTATAAATAATTAAAAGGTCGTAGTGCACCAGTGGTATTGCAAACTGTTGAAACAATTCAACTTATCCTACCAATTATTCAGAATTAACGACAACTTCAGATTTCGATGACTATTACAATACGATCACTTAATTTTTAGGGATTACTTGTTTGATTGCACCTTTTCACATCATTTCAAATGATCTGTTGTAGAAAAAGTGATAACTAAAGGTGTCAACAATCGTTCCAAACAAGATCAGATGTTACCAGTTATTAATTATATTTTACATACATATGCATATTTTATTATCGGTCCAATGGCTGCAGCATTCAATATTCCCGTCTTTCTATTTGTGATAATGCGTAAAACACTCAGGTAATCGATTCATATTATTTATGAAGATATTGTGAAAATAAGAATTGAGCCTATATTTAATGAATAGTTTCAATTGGAAAGTCTCAGAGAATAAGATATAAGCATTTTAAATTATAAAATCATTTCAAAAAAGTATACATAAAACAATATTTCAGGGGAACATACATTGTTATTGCTGTTGTCTTTCTCAATAGCGGATTTAGCGGAATTGGTGTGACATTATTAGGAATAAAGCGATTATCACATTTCCATGATGAGAAATTAATTAGTAATAAACAATGCGTGCTAAGTGTTTGTTTATTTCCTGCAATTCTTTTGTGTTTTCTCAAATATTTAAATTAAAATATTGCAAAGTGTAGCAAATTTTAAAAGGAAGAATAGAAAAAAGTGAACCATAAGGAATTTCAAATGCCGAAAAAGTGAATCATAAAGAATTTCAGATGCTAAAAAAGTGAATCGCAAGGAATTTTCGATAACAAAAAAGTAAATCGCAAAGAATTTCAGGTGCCCATTATTCTTCCTCTAGCAGTGCTTTGTGTGAATGGAATAAGTTTGTTGATGAACAGCGCAGAAAGACTTTCGGTTGTAGCATTTCCAGTATATTATTATATTCATAACGCACGAATAAATTACTCATTAATTGCCGCACAATATGTGATTACAGTCATTGCTGTAATTATTACCGCCACTGCAAGCTTAATTGAACCAACTCGGCAAATATCAAATCTTTGCATGTAAGTAATGTTACAATTATTAAAAATGAATATTTCATTTTTAAATGCACTTTTGTATTATAACCACTAGAATCACATATTTTTCATAATATAACGAAAACATTTTTACTTTCAAAATCTAACTCTTCCAGATTACAAGACGTATATTCACCTTATTTTTATAAAGCGATATTACTAATGGTTTGCAGTGCTTCATCTATGAGTGTTGTTCTTATGATTATTGTTGTTATCATCCTGAGAAAGTAACAACTTGAAAAATTTGTCATATCAATTCATTCTTTTGAGTAAATTTCTATAACAGAAAAATATATGAACTATTTGATGATGATAGAATCGAAAGCAATATTTGCTAGTAATATAAACTAATAAACAAAACAAAATATAGCATAATACACATACAATACATACCTGTTTTAATGAATTGTTATTTCTTTTCGTCCTTTAGATCAGATAAAAACTTCTGCAAAGTTAAATGTAAATTTGAATTGAATTGTATTTTAATCATATCATAGTTACTCTCAGGAAATTCGGTGCGCAATTTCTTTCAAATAATTCGTATAACCGCGATTTGTCACATTTTCTCAATAATCAAAGGCGATTCACTAAAACGGCGATAATCTCTGGTTGTCTCACATTTTGTACGTTTCTACAATCCGATTTCTGTGAACATTCTCGCGAAGCTAAATTCCTTCAATAATGATGAAATAATGTTATCCCACAAGGTTTTAAGATATAAGTTTTATATTTTTCAATACTCAGCAGACCAAATAGCTGCGGAAAAGGTAGTACTTGAACCTATTATGTAATTAGTTTTGCAAGTAATTTGCTGCTATTACTTAATTTATTATCTTACAGTTCTTGTTGTGATACCATCAATTGTGGAATATATATACATGATGGATTCTTCCGAAACATCGAAAATCATTGTGATCTGTTGCGCGCATTTGCGTCTGTTGAATTCCTTCAATATGGTAGTATTATTTTTGTATCGTCAAAAAGATTTTCGGTATGATGCAGTTCAATGTTTCAACTTCCTGATATATAAACGCAAAACATCAGTCCAACCAATGTACTGACTGTTTTTAGTGAATTTAATGAAATCACTTTTCCATTTAAAAAAATTGTTTTGCTATCATTCCGTATTTGTTCCTAGTAAAACTTTCCAAGATTATATTTTATTTATAATTCTTTAACGAAGGATCAAGAGATCTTTTTGTCACCAATGTATAATTCTATCAGCCGAAGATCATAAGTAAATTCAAGAAAAAGAAAAGAATTCTTCATCAAAAAACAAACAGCCGTTCTTGTTTTTCTTGAATTAAAGGTAGTGCAAGGGAAAATATATAAAAGCATCTCATAATGATATGAAGGAATATATTTGAATTCTTTGCTCAGAATTTTATTTTTTATAACGATGTTTGCCTTGGCTCTTGATAAATAGTCTATTCAATAGCACAGGAATTGCTTGGGCATCAGCAATGTACTAAAAGGTCAAATGCCCTTTCTTTAACACAGTGAATAACACTAATAAAACATTGAACTTAGTACTTTAAAAAAATATAAGCTATACAAGCTTCAAGCATAACCAATAAGGACATTGAAAAAGTGAAAAAAACCTCCTCATAATTACATATTCCAATATTCGTGGCGCAAACATTACAAAGCACTGGATGAAATAAATTTTCTTTCGG